AATTTCTAGGAAAGTCACTAGATAGTTGTTTTTAGTTCTTATAAATAGGGGTGCAGTTTTTGTTTTGAAAACACACAGAAAAACTTAATACTCAATACATTGAGTTGTTCATAATCTTCTTCTTTCATCCTAAAAGTGTTGGTTTGTGCCGGAAGCATTTTTGCTTACCTGAGACTAACAACCTCACTAAAATAAAATGGTTATGTGCTAACAGGAACTCGATCGGGAAAAAGCTGCTCGTTTGGATCAGGAAAAGACTTCCAGCCTTCCGCCTCTTCATATACCAGATCAAAGTTCCATAGCTAGGCAGAAGTCATCTGCCTTTGAAAATGGTAAAAATTCAAATCAACTATATGTAATAACTATTATCTTTATTCTACTTTTAGCACTTTTTACTCTGCACTTCAACAGGTAGCTTGTCCCGTAAGATCTCGAGTGCAAGCAGCTTGAGCAGTATGGAAGAAACCTATTTTCTGCAGAACACGTTGGGGTCATCCGAGAATTTATCTGAACATAGATCCATGGCTGAGGTCCCAATAAGCCCATACTATATAAAGAGCATGACGACCAGCACTTACGAAGCAGCCCTTCGTCGAAAGGAAGGGGAGCTTGCGTCATATACATCTAGACTGGTCTGAATCATTGAACAGCAGTGTTTATCTTGAGTAATTCATAGGGCCACACTCTTAGTTATTTTTGTGCAACACTAGTTCTTGGTACTGTACTCAAGAATTTGGTTTTTGTCTGTAGGCTTCTATGGAATCAATTCGCGATTCTCTTGCAGAGGAGTTAGTTAAAATGACGGCAGAGGTGCAACTATATAGTCCTTTTTTTTTTTTATTTTACTTAATATTTTTATTTTCTTCCACCTTTCCCTTAATCATGGGTGACTGGCATTATCATGGTAGATGATAATAAGTTGGTGAGATACAGTAGCAGTATCATAAACTTCTATGCTAATTATTAAATTTACAATGTTCTAAGCATTTGAACTGTACCATTTGTTCTCATGGTAGATGATTGTATCACTTATGGATTTGATATTGTGATTTATATGGTGCAGTGTGAAAAGCTACGGGCAGAAGCTGACACACTACCCGGGATACGAGCAGAATTAGAGGCACTCAGACGGAGGCACTCAGCTGCCTTGGAGTTGATGGGCGAACGTGATGAGGAGGTAACTCAATTCTTTTTCCTTTATTTCACCAACAAAAATGATTGATTATTATTATTATTATTATTGTTGTTGTTATTATTATTTAAACATATCGCTTCTTGAAAAATGAGAAAAAGTTAGACAATGAATGAAAGGGTTTGTGACAGCGCCGAAGCAATATGTTAAATGAGAAAACTTAGAAAACAAAAGAACAGATTCCTGACAGAAAATAAGCTTGCAAACTGTTAACCAAGACAAAACAACGAAACGAAGTTTAATTGTGAGCCAAGACTGTTATAGATCACTAGTTGCCAGAACATTGAACTGTGGGACATTGGATGAAAACGGCTGATACAACTGAAAAAATTGGTTATGTGACTAAATTCATGCCTAGATAGTTATAAAGATTTATTCCCGTTTCCATGAGATACATACGTCAGCGATGAAGAGCATATTTCTTAAGCATTTAAGACTATTATATCAGACAGTTAACTTAAAAGTGAAATTCTGTCACTGCTTTGTAATTTGAAAAGTTAACACTGGCGTCTCTTTTTCTCCGTTTTGGTTCGTAAGTGAAATTTTTTTGAGCAACTTAATGGGCAAACAAAATAGATCATTTCTGTTAGTTCATTGTTAAGATAAAAACGAAGACATCTTTTGTGCAGTTGGAAGAACTTCGCGCTGATATAGTCGATCTGAAGGAGATGTATAGAGAGCAAGTGAACTTACTTGTCAATAAAGTAAGCTTTTTTATTTTTTCCCCTCAAACTCTTTGAAGTTTTTTTATTACTAGTAGCATTATTTTCATTTAATTCGTTTTTTTTTTTTGTTCATGTGCTTTGCAGGTTCAAATATTAAGGTCGTCTATTGGTGCTGCTTGATAGAGTATCAAATCACTGGATGCAGTTCATCATATATTCACAATACAGTAATATGCTGTGGCATTAGATGTTGCATGTGCTAACTAAACTTCTTCTAAAACATTTTTGTTCTTTCTGTTGTTACTAATTTTGTTTTCTTACATTGTATTTATGTATAGCAATGATAATAGCTTTATGGTAAAGAGCATTGCTCATTATATCTAGTCTTCTGTTTACTCTAGTTTTATGTTTGGATTTTCATTTCAAATTTGATCACAAGTTTCATATCTTTTTTTTACCCCGAGTGATTTGGAAATAGCTCGTCTTTATTTTTATTGGGGACAAATGATGTAACACCCCGCTAGCTTACTAAAATCAGAGTGCGATTTTCGTAAATTCTTTTGTAAAGTTTACATTTTATTTTGCAAAACATATCTCGGGATGCTACATAAAATATTTCTTTTCTAAAAATCCGTTAACTTTATAAATTTTCTAGGATCATTTACGAAAAACGGATTATCTTTTATAAAACAAGCGCGTAATACTGTATAAAACTTGACTCGAAAGCTCGGATCGCCGTCTGAAAATTTACACGCTAGTTTGAAAGTTTGAAAACGTCAGCAGAAGTAAATGTGGCAGATATATACATATCAACAATCTGCAAAAATATATACATATTTACATGTACTGGACCGGCGACCACCAGCTCCACTCACTCCTCCGGACCGACCCTGTCTCCTGAAAAAGAAT